TATGTTCGAGAAGCGGAGAAATCTATCATGCATGTCATGGTTCTGTGAAGTTTCAGAGGAAAGCGAAGAGGAAAATCTAGCAAAATTCGCGATGATCCTATGGAATCTATGGAATGAACGAAATAACCACTTGTTCAACAAAAAGAAAGCAGAGGAGTGGGAAATCGTGGGAAAGGCACTATCCTATCAGGAGGAATTCCGGTCAGCCAGACAAAAGGAAGAGGAGAGAAAGGAAAGTGTACCTGTGGAATGGAAGAAACCCCCGGCGGGCATGGTAAAAACCAATGTCGATGCGGCCGTATTTGAGGGAGAAGGGATTGGAGCAGGGGTGGTTGCGAGGGACTGGAACGGGCTATGCCTGATTGCCGCGGTTCGTCGGGATCGGAGACAGTGGAGGCCAGAAATTGCTGAGCTCCAGGCCATCGACTTCGCGCTGGACATTGTGGAAATGAAGGGTTTTGCGTCGGTGGAAATTGAGTCTGACTGTTTGGAGGCCATCTCAAAGCTGAAAGGTGACGTGGATGCCATAACGGAGGAAGGGGAGCTCAGTGCTGAAATAAGGGCTAGGGCCCAAAGTTTGGGCCAGATTAAATGGAATTTTACTAGGAGGATTTGTAATGAAGTGGCCCATTGTTTGGCCTACTTTGGATGCAGATGGGATACACAGGAATGTTGGGAAGATAGACCCCCCTTACCTTTATTATCGCTGCTGGAAGCGGATTGTAACCTAGCTGATACTTAAGCAATAAAATCTCTAGCAGGTTCCTATATAAAAAAAAAGTAATAACATATAACATTACACCCTATAAAAATTAAATAAATGATAACAATCAGTCGTAAATAATGACATATATGTAGGGTTTTAACTTTTACGAGTGTGGCTTGTTTGAATGAATATCGTCAATGAAGAGCCGCTTGAAAACAGAGAGTGTGGCCAGTATTCTATTGGGCCTTTGCAGGCCCACTGCCTTTGTCGCTGGGCTCCTCTTGAGCTGAACTTCCTTCCCCAAGCAAAAATTAAAAACCCAAGATCAGTTGCTTCGGCCCAACTTTCCTGGTTAACCGGACTTTGATCGAGTTAAGGTGGGTTTAGACGAGTGTGCGGCGCTCACTTTCCCAATAAGATTCGGATCAAACCCACGAGTTGACGACGTTAGTATTTATCGGTTTGTCTTCGTTTTTCTTTCTAGAAACTTTGTTTGGGTGTTAGGTCATGAATTTGTTGAACGTTGGACGTATAGATAGAACTGTGCATGTATTGGTTGGTGGCCTGGTGCCATATGATTTTCGGCTTATTTTTACATTCTGTTTGCATTTCCAAGATAAAGGTAGCTAACAAGAAGAATATGGTTGAGAAAAAATAACAATGACTGTTGCTGGTGGAGACTTATTGCCTGAAATTATTAGAAGGAAATGAACTAGGATGGTATACAAAGAAATGAGTATTCTGTTTTCGATGTCACTGAACTGGAGAAGTTCCTGGATCTCAACAAGATAAATTCCTAATTCCAAGTCAAAGTTTCATCTTTGTCATATGCTCTGTTTTTTTTCCCCCATGGAGAGATGGTGGTGGTGGGAAGATACATGTCACTTAATGGTTAAATATCGGTAAGGAAGTGGTTAAGTGCCATACACGGGCCTGTATAAGATCCAGCATAACCTTTTCCCAACAACTCGAGTTATTGGGATCAACTGGTTTATGACATGGTATCAGAGCTGGTTTGTCCTTGAGGTCACGTGTTCAAGTCCTCATGACCCCCAATATTAACCGTTGTCTTCAAGCACATGGTATGGCGGGCCTGTGCAAACTTCAAGCCCATGAGTCGGCTTTCGTTTGAGGGGGCGTGTAAGGAAGTGTTTAAGTGCCATACACGGGCCTGTATAAGATCCAGCATAACCTTCTCCCAACAACTCGAGTTATTGGGATCAACTGGTTTATGACAATATCATAGTTCACTGTCACTTAACACGAATTTAACCGAGTTTAATGACCATTGACCAACTATGAATGTGGACCTTAAGTTAGTGATCTGTAAGCAATGAAATTATTTTGAGCAGTAAACGTGTAAGTGTAACAAATGAATAAACACAATGACTAAACTTGTAATTCACCCCTTTCTACTAGCTAGGTTGGACCAATATACAACCACTAAATGAATTGTTGGCATGGTTGTCACGCCGGTGGCATGACACCCGGTTGAATCTGGTTCAATCTGTGCCGGTTATGAAACCGGCATATGACACCACCGGTATGACCGGTATGATCGACTTACGCATTCTAAGTAATATGACATCATTTTAATGAGTTTAATGAATAAAAAAATTAATTTATTATTCATTTTATGAATGTAATAGTTAAAAGTTGATGATATTTGTTGAATTGTAACTAAATTGTCCACAAATATGTTTTATATATGATTAAATACATGAGATATTAATTGTTTTCACATTTATTTTAACCGGCATGAACCGGCACAAACTGGTTATACCACCGGTCGTACCATTCCATTTGCCAAACCGGCACAACGGTATAAACCGGTTTGACAACCTTGATTGTTGGCTACAACCCGTTGGGCATGAGTTTCGTGGTTCGTTGGGTACACGTGGACCAATAATGGTTTATTGTAAACTATTATTCATAAATCATAATATTGTATGGCTGAAAAAAGTCCTACAAAATTGACCTCGTCCACAATCAGATTGGAAAACACTATGAATTTATTTTATTGTAAAATAATATACGAACCAACCATGTGACCTTGGTAACCATTGTTCTCGCTTCTAAATTTCCGGGTTCTAAATTGTTTATTTTATGTTTATAAATTAACATTCTACTTCATTTATACCACCAAAACTAACAAAAAAACATCTTAAAAAAGGCGAGTTGAGTGCACAGATTAGTAATTGAAGATGTCATTATTCACAACCATCTTGTTCGTCTTAGCTTTCCTGCTCATTCAAACTTGTCACCACACAAGTAAGTGTTAAATTCTCATCCAAATAATATTTATTATAAACAATGGATATTCATGACCCAATTTGTTAAATTTAGAGATAACCTTTATTCGATCGGTGACTTTAGGATGTTTTTTATAAAATAGATGAAAATTTCACCCTTTTTTTTAAAGCACAGATGCTGAAGATGGTGCAAAAGATTCAATAGCACCTGGACAACCAAGATGGTGCGTGGCAAGTCCAAAGGCGGATCACCAACAATTGCTCGAGGCAATCGTCTTTGGTTGTAAGGCTAAAGGAGTGGACTGTTCTTGGGTTCGAGAAGGAAACCCTTGCGTTGACCCTAACAATATTCGTGGTCAGGCTTCTTACGTCATGAATCAAAAGTTCTTAACACACGAGAACGAAGAAGAGCGACCATGTGATATGGGTGGAATTGGCATGATCGTCACCAAAGATCCTAGTGAGTTCCTAACTTCCTATATACCTTACTTAACAATTTTTTAAAATCGTGATATTTACAAATGTAATGATTGATTTTTGGTGTTTTTTTATTTCTTATGATCCATTTTAGGTTTCGGTAAATGCAAGTTTCCTTCGCGCACAAATTAGATAAATTTTTTGGTAAGCCAGATATATGTATGTCACACACATTTCAGGTTTAAAAATACCATATTGTTGTGGCAAAAATTTTGTTCTCTTTGTCTACTTTAATTATTATATTATATTAATAATTGTAGCAAGCAATTATGAATTGCTAGAAGAAAATATGCTTATGGATTGTTAAGATGAATGTATATAAATAAGTTTGTGTAAGAACAATATATAGATGATCAAATATATTTGATTTTTTTTTATCTTTGTTTTAAGTTATTGTATGATATTGTGTCATCCTGATAAAAAATAAAATAAAATTTATGAGACAAGTTTATTTCTTGGAATAATTTGATCTTTGGTAACTTTTTATCATTTCTATAAAAATCTTGCACTTGTTATTAATTCAACAAGTCCAAATAATATTGGGTAAATGACACACTTGGTCACTGAGATTATTAAATTGTGTCATGTTTAGTCACTAGAAAAAATTAATATCAATTTTGGTCACTCGAATTACCGAAACTGGTCAAATTTAGTCACTCTCCCGTCAGTTTCCGTCCAACTCCATTAATGTAGTTGGACGGAAACTTTTGGGAGAGTGACTAAATGTGACATGTTTCAGTAATACGAGTGACTAAATGTGACATTTTTCAATAATTCGAGTGACCGGAGTTGGACAGAGGCTACAGAAGAGTGACCAAATGTGACCTGTGTCAGTAATTCGAGTGACCAAAATTGATATTAAATTTTTCTAGTGACTAAATATGACACGATTTAGTAATCTCAGTGACCAAATGTGTCATTTACCCAAATAATATTCATCGAGTTGAAAAATAGGCTCTTGATATCTTTCGAAGTAAATTGCACATCTAATCTTGATGAAATAAGTAATGATTTACGTTGCACTCTAGGCGCAATTTTTCCGATTGTACAAAGCATATAGGGATTTATGTACAATATGTTCGGGACTTTGTTCGAGATGGTATAATAAGTATTCATTACATTCAGACAGAACACCAGGTTGTTGATTTGCTTGCTAAGGCATTCACCACGAGTCGACATTGATTTCTAGGATCGACATCAATTTGAGGAGAGGCTATTAGCTTAATATTAGGTTCGAGTTTTTATTATGTACACAATACATTTAACTGCCAATTAACTTTGATAGTTGAGTCCACTAAGTCATTAACATCGTGTAGTCCATGCACGGTAAAGAGGTCTAGAGTTGTTATCTAATCAAGGGCTGAACGCGTATATAGCGAGAGAGGTGTGCAACAGTTGTAGATCCTCGATTCATTCACTGTGAAATCGCAGTTTGAAGAATGATAGCTCTTCCATGGATTAGTCTTAGCATTACATGGATGCCATAATTAGTCATTAACATCATGTAGCTCATGTACGATTAGGAGGCCGAGAGTCATAGGTAGTTCCGAACGATTATATAGAGAGAGGTGTACACGTGTAGATCATTTGTACATTCATAATAATACCGGAGTTTGAAGAGTAATAGTTCTTCTGTGGATTAAGTCCTCACATTTCAAGAATACCCAGCTAAATCCATCAAACTCTTTAAATTGTTTTTTTGTGATTGTTCATCAAAAAACAATTACAGAGCCGGAAGCCATAAACAAAACCAAAGGAACCTGACATTTCTGCATTATCAATTTTCATGGCAGCAGAATGCACATCTGAAAATAACTTAGCTCGCAAGGAGAAGAATGAGAGAGAGCCAAGTCCTTTTCAAAGCTCAAGTCTCTTCTTCTCTCCAAGCAAAATGCGTAGGCAACCGAGAGATACCCGACCCGGAAACAACGAAAACACCGACCTAATTAAAACCCGACCCATTGCCACATACACTAAGATACAAAATACAGTACATCATCATCTTCTTCTTCTTCTTCATCTTCTCCACTCGAACTGCTAAAAAAAAACCTTCCAAGCAAGAGAGAATCTACAATCCCATGTGCCACGTCATAGCAAAGTTCTTCCCCACCGGAATCTCCAACCCACTCACCTCCACCAGCAAACTCTTCTTCGCCTTCTCATCTCCACCGGCCGATGACGCAACGCCGATCTGCTCCACCGACCTCACCTGCACCTTCGAAGCCACCGCCGCAGAGACCGAATTCCCGTCGACTTGAACATCCGACGGCGACGACCCACTTCCACCCAGCCCCAACACCGACACCTTCTCAATGACCAATCCTTTCCCCAACGCAAACTTCCCTTCCTGCACCTCCGACCACAACTTCACGCTCCCTTTACTGACGGTAGCGTAGAACTCAATGTACGTCGATTCGCCGTTCCCTAGCTTCATCTCCGGAAGCTCGTCGTTGTCCATAAACAAACTCCCTCTCGCTTCCGCTCCGTCGGTAGATCCAGCAGGGAAGGTCACGACGAGGCTGAACGGCGTCGTCCTGGCGTCCTTCGAAATCATTCCGCCTCTCTGCATCGGCAGAATTGTGTTCTGATACAAGTGCACGTTGATGAAGTGCAACGGCGCGTCCAACGTGTAGTACTCGCCCTTCGAATCGATGGATCGAGACATGTCGGACATGCTGTACCACGAACCGGGAGGGAACAGCGCCTTCACTTGCGTCTTCCCCTGCTCGAGCACCGGAGAAATCAAGAGGCCGCTGCCTAACAAGAACTGCGTGCTCAGCCCGTAACATTCGGTGTAGGTAGGGAACGAGAAGAAAACCGGCCTGGCGATGGGAGCTCCCGTCAAGTGAGCGTCGTAGCTCAACGTGTAGAGGTACGGCAGAAGCTTGTACCTCAAGGCAAGAGCGTTTCTTGCGGACTCGGCAACCGATTCCCACTGGTAAAGCTCCTGCCTCGGCGAGTAGAAGTTGGCGTGGTCTCTGGAGAACGGGTAGAAAGCGCCCAATTCGATCCAACGGTTGCAGAGCTCCTCCGTTGGAGCAGGGTAGAACCCGCATATATCTGAACCAACCATCGGCACACCGAAGATGCCGAAGTTGAGCATTGTGGGTATGGAGTATTTCAAATTCTCCCAGTTCCCTTGGTTGTCGCCGGTCCAATGAGCAGCGTATTTCCCCGATCCGACATAGGTGGAGCGCGAAAGGATGAAGGGGCGCTTCCCCTGAAGACCCTGAAGCGCCTTGTGGGTAGCAATGGATTGCGAGAATCCGTAGAGACTGTGTGCGTCGTACTCCAACACGCCGTTGTAATGAACTGCGCTGGTGGCTATGGTCTTGAAACCAATTGGCGCCTGCAATCCTGAGGCGTTGATCTTGTAAGGAGGGTCGTCCCACCTGGACTTGGTAATGTTCTTGCAGTCCAAGCAACATATCCAACCCGGGCCGGTCCCCGTCGGGCACTTCTTCCCCTTGGGGATTGTGCACAGTCCGGAGCAGAAGTTGGAAGCTTCATTCATGTCGATCCACAGGCCGTCGACAGGGACCATGTCGTGGAAGCGACGGATTTCGTCCCCCCACCATGAGACAGTTTTAGGGTTGAGGAAGTCGGGGAAGTTGACTGCTCCAGGCCATACCTGAGCCAGGTAAGGCTGGCCTTCGTACTTGATGAACACGTCATCTGCGAGGCCTCTGTTGTAAACGCCGTAAGTGGAATTGACGTTGATCCCAGGATCAATGATGACAATGTACTTCATGCCGATTCCGTGGATCTTGTCTAGGAAGGCTCGCAGCTTCTCGCGAGGGTAGCTGATGGGGCTTAAGGTGAAGTCCTTGTGGAAATCCATGTGATCATCGTCGTTCCAGATCACGTCGAGTGGGATCTTGGCCTTCTTGTAGCTGTCAACCACATCTTCGACCACTGAGAGGTTGTGATATCCCCATCTGCATTGGTGGAATCCTGCATCAAAGAATTGCCAGAGTCAAAATACTTTTCTAATTCAGGGTAACTGTAAATATGGCTGAAGACAAACTGGGTTTTACTTCTTCTGGCAACATTTACTTTAACTTGTGCACAGCATTCATTGGGTTTAAAACTAACCATATCTCCTTCCCAACAACTAACCACAGAAAAGTTCCAGACAATCACACATGGCATTATTTACTGCAGATTGATTGTGCTGTACGTGTTCTATCAGAGATCACAAGCATTCAGAGGACAAGGAAGCAATATCCCGTCGTCCAACCACCGACAGAGCTATTGTAAAGGGGAAACAACCCAAAATATGACTTCACTGTACAGTATCCTACAGAGTATGGCAGATGGTACCACCCTAGCAGGCAAATGAAATCAAAAGTTTTAAAGTCTCTGGCCGGCGCACCGCCCCACCTCGGCTCCATGGGTCCCCGCCGAATGAATGAACCATGTGACATGGTATTTGCAAGTCAAATGTAGACGTGGGTTTGGAAAATTGCAAAATTAGAGTGAACTGCACCACAAGATGGAAGTTTGTGCAGGCACCGCATAGCAGTGGCAAATTAAGCAGATTTTTTTTGCTGTCTATTCTCCATAGAGAGGCCTTGACTAGTAGCTGGTTTGTGATCACAAAATGGAAATGATTGGCCAATAGGGTCAAGATGTTTGGCTTGCAAAAGTTAAAAAGCCAAAAGAGTAGGGGATATTTTTCTTCCTTGAGATGCATCCGCCTTGTCTGTAATGTGACATGGGGACCTAACCATTTTGGGGTTTTCGTTTTCAAGGATCAAAATGACTTATCACATAGACAATTATAGAGATTTATTCAATCAACTAGGAAAAGGAAAGGTTGTGTTGGTTTGGTTTGGGTCTGTGGTGGAGGGTGGTACTAAATAAATTACAAATGGTCCAACCTCAACTACCCTAAATTAAGCAGATGGTACCGCCCTAGCAGGCAAATGTGGGGAAAAAAACCCTACCCTAAATTAATACGGCAACAATAGAACAGAAAAGATAATTACACAGGCATGGCAATAAAGGAGAAAGGTAAACCTTTGTATCCCAGAACTTAATCACATAAAATTAAAGTTGAAACTCCCACAAAGTACTCCCTAAAAAAGATCAGATACTGTTAACCTATAGAAATTAGTACCATGCTAATTATTAGTTGTAGTAGTTCGTGTCAAAATTATAGTTCTATAATTGTAACAAAAAGATAATGACTTAAACTAAAAAATTATAATTGATTAGTATGATGTCGATGTTTATGGTTAGTAAACTATCATGATTGCACTACTACAACTCATGATTAGTTTGGTACTAACCATTATAGTTCGCAGCAAGCTAACGATTCCAGCTTAAAACATATATCGGCCAATTATTGATTAGGTGTTCGTTTTGCAGCACACATTCCTCTGCATATTCCCTACTCTTTGGCTTAACTACGTTTCGGGATTACGATTTGATCGAACGTGCCTAAACCATAGTAGGCAAAACTTATTATTAAAAAAAATTTATCAAAGAAGGCAAAACTTTTTAATTTTGGTGTTGCCCACAGCCACAAAGACACAAGTTTGGCTCCTCTAACACGTGCTACACAATCCAATCAACCGTGATTATCGGTTGTCACCCTCTGAAGACTCGATTAAGAATTTAAGATCCTTAATCTTGGCTCAGTTATTGGACTAGGATAATACGCCAAATTCCACCACACTCCAAAATCAAGGCCTTTTTCCGGGGGAAAAAACAATTGAAATCTTTATAGTCGTGACAAAATTACAACATAATATTTAATTTAATCAATCTATAGCTCGACTTACTATTTACCTATCAGTAACTTCCTAGCTTTTCTTTAAGAAGAAGTAACACATAGGATTTAGGAACACAACAAACTCCCAGCACAACTAATCAACTACCTATCACCATTAACTATTAACAATTAGCGGGAACTTTCGTTACTTAGCAAGTAGGTAATTTACGTATTAAGTTTACGACAATGTTTAATATTTTTAGAACCACATTTAATCAACCAGTATAAAAAAGTAATACCACGGTGGACACCATAATCAAGTTGATTATGTCATTATGTCTGAACTCTTACGTGAAAAGCTGTTAAAATTACCGCAAGCCCAGTAAAAAGTAAAAAAAAACTGGGGAAAGGGTAAAGAATGATTTACCGAAAGCCCAGTAAGGCATGGGGGCCGGTCTGCCAACCAAAGAAGTGTACTGATCGATGACGCCCAAAGGACTCGGACCGGCGAAGAAGTAAAAGTCGAAAACGCCCCCAATCACCTTGTACGTTAGCGAACTCCCCTTGTAGAAAACATCCATCCCGTTGCTGTTCAACAGCAAAACCCCGTGAGCATAAGGCTTCCCCTTCACGTTTCGGAGGTCCATGTAAACCGGGTGCGACCCGTACAGATCCGCATTCAGGTTAATCGCCGATATGTCGGTCGTGTACAGAGTGTACGGATCCCCGGGGTTCAGCTTGATCCCGTGCGGCTGCGTGTTCTCCCCGAGGCCGTACAGCGACGCGTCCTCGGGAAGCTTCGTGGAGATCTCCAGGTACTGGTCCTTGAAAACCATTGGCCCGAACGGGCCGCCGGAGCTGGTGTTGAACAGAGTCTGCCCGGTCGACTTCCTCCTCACGGCGAAGCTGAACGGGTCCGCCGTGTAGCTGAAAATCAGCTCGCCGGATGAGGTCGCGTAGTCCTGGACGCCGATTAGGTTCTTCCTCGACCTCCCTATCGTCTGCTTCGCCACCGGCGGCTGGTCTCGCGGGAGGAGGTCGTACGGAACCTCCCACCTCTGCTTCTCCGCGTCCGTAATGTGAACCCGCAGCCGGTCGTCCGTTTCGTGCCTGAAAAAAAAAACAACAGATTACGATTCAATTCACTTTCCAATTTCACCAATGGAGCCGAGCTGAATCAATGTAAATTGAATATTTCCTTTCTGTTAGTAATGGAAAACCGCCATTGAAGAGCAGGGGGGAAATAGGGGGGAAATTACTTGACGAAGAGCTGGAGCGTGGGGATATCGGCGCCATAGATTTTGTTCTTCTGCTTGACTTGGAGGTGGCCGAGGAATCCTCCGTCGGGAGTTTCTTCGAGGGAGATTAGGCGGTAGCCTTTCCCAATCTTGGAAGGGGCGGAGGAGGAAGAAGAGTTGGAAGAGGCGGCGGCGACGACGCCATGGAAGCAGAGGAGAAGGAGGAGAAGAATTGTGGAAGAGGAGTGAGGGAGAGAGAGCGGCTTCATCTTCTTCTTCTGCTTCCACTTCACTCTCTCTCAGTAATGGCTGAGCTACTGCTGTGCTGCAGTGGTTGGGGGGAAGAAGCAGAGATATAAAGGAAGGGGAAGGAGAGGAAGGAGGGAAATCAGCGGGTACATGTGAGCGCAGCGTGAAGGAGCATGAGCCCACTCCGCTGGGCCGGACACGCTACTAGCTATGGTCATGGAGTGTGGGCCGTTGCCAGGATTTTGGGAATTGGAAACTTTACCGTTTGATTTTGATGACTTATTTTACGGGTTAATGCTTAATACGGTTCTTTTAGTCCCTGTACTATTACGACATCTACAAAGAAGCCTCTGCACTATGAAAATTTTACATTTTGACATTTACACCCTTGCCAATGGGTTGGGTGGTTCGTGTTTAACCATTTTAATCACCCGACCCATACACTACGATTTAGAAAATATTAAACCCAAATCCACCCAAAAAATTTAAACCCTACGGTTTGTTTCTATTTGGGTTGGGTCGGGTCGACGATATTTTAAGTAAAAACTCAACCCAACGCAAAATATGTAATTATTCTACGCCATAAAATATTTTATAATTAATTAAAATTTCAAACGTAAAAAACTGAGGCGAAAGGTATCAAAATTTACAAATGTTGTTTGAATTTTAATAAAATGAGATTTACTTCAACATATGTCTAGTTTTTTTCACGATATTTTTTGAAATAGGCTAAAAAGGTTATAAACGAACTCATCCATAATATGTTATTCTATTTTTTTTGATAAGGATGATATATAATTAATTAATCAGAGAAAAGGGGACGGAAAAAAAAACAAAAACAGGGAGAAGCAGGAACTCAGTCACGGCGCACAGTGCTAATCGGCCGGACTGAGCTGAAAAGGTCCCTTTACAAGAACAGGAACAGGACAGAACGGTAACAAAAGGAGGTTCCCGAACCCCAACATAAAGCGAAAATGAAAGGGACACCTGCTCCTGCGAGAAGAAATCAAGCTGAGCGTACTGGATGAGTGGCGCTGTTGGGGAGCAATCTTGACCGCAGCTCATTCAACCAATGTTCAGCAATCTCTTTGTCTACCTTCTTATCAGCAGTCAACCATCCAGAGATAGCACTTCCGATTTTAAAAACAAGTACCCGAGCAGGACAAGCCGCATCTCTGAATACTCTAGCGTTCCTTTCCAGCCAAATAGACCAGCAGAAGGCATGTAATGCGACCTTCGAACACCATTGAGCAGGGCACTCTGGTTGTGCAGTAGGCCAACTTGTGATTCTTTCTTTGATATCGGTCGCCCCATCTACATGTAGGCTGATCTTCACGAAGGATTTCATCAGCAGCCAAACCTGTCTTGAGAATTCACAGGAGATGAAGATGTGATCGGCCGTTTCCTCTTGTTTCTTGCATAGAACGCACCGATTGGGGAGACATAATCCCTTTCTTTTGAGGTTGTCGATTGTGAGGACTCTGTTGTGGTACACTAGCCAGATAAATAAGCAGATCTTCAGTGGAATCGAGCTCTGCCAGACCATCTTTGTCGGGAAATTGTTGATGCCCCTAGCTTGTGCCGCGGCTAGGTGATTTGCAGCCGAGTGAACGCTGAACCTCCCTGTGGTAGTCGCCGACCAGCATGGTCTCTCCGGTCCTGCACTAAGAATCAAGGAAGAAACAGACTCAAGAAGTTCAAATAACCTCACTCTCTCTCTCTCCGCCCCACCCCTAAGAGAATAAATTAGTGGAATCTGCCACTGATGATTTCCCTCCGAATAAAAAAGATAATCCGCAATGGTGGATGATGAGGTCTCAGCCGCGGCGAATACTCTCGGGAATTCTTCCGCCAAGCGAACGCCAGCTATCCAAGTGTCGAACCAAAAGGATGTGTGGAATCCGCACCCCTGTTCAATGAAAGCCACCTTCCAAAATTCGTTCTTTAATCTCATGATGCTGGCCCAAGGGCTGCCCCCAATCCTGCCATGAACATCTCCGGGAAACCAGGATGACAAATGATTGGGAAACTTAATCTCTATGAGGTTTCTCCACCAGGTTCTTCTCTCTGATGCATACCTCCAATGCCATTTAAAAAGAAGAGCTCTGTTATGGAGTTCTAAGTCCCTGATACCCAAACCTCCACGATCCTTAGAAGCTTTGCATAGATCCCACGACACGAGATGAAGTTTCGCCTTATCCTGATTACCACACCACAGGAACTCCCTTTGAATCTTCTCTAACCTCTTGATGGTTTGTTTCGGAATCAGGTATAGAGAGCTGACATAAGTGCTCTGACTTGCGAGAACCGAGTTGATGAGAACCACCCTGCCCCCCAACGACAGATACTTTCCGCGCCAACCTTCCAACCTAGCTTGGGTTCTTCTTATAAGTGAGTTCCAATGCCCATTGGGTGGGGATTGGCATCCCAATGGCACGCCTAAGTAAGTAGTTGGGAGGAAGGCCCATTCACAGCCAAACACTTCCACCAGTCTATCCATGTTAGGAACATCACCTACAGGAAATATTTTAGATTTGTCAAGATTAACTTGCAAACCGGTGATCCCCTGAAAGCACACTAGCGCAGCTAGCATGTTCCTCACTTCTGTTTCGTTTGCTTCGCAAAACAGAATGGCATCATCGGCATATAATAAGTGTGTTACCTCTCCTCTTCTACCTTCTTCATCAACGCAAAACCCCGATATATGACCTGCACTCTTGATTTCGCATAAGATGAACGACAGAATGTCCATGCCAATGTTGAATAGAAGGGGAGAAAGTGAGTCTCCTTGCTTGACTCCCCGGGACATCCCAAAGAAACCGACTGATTCCCCATTAATCAACACGGACAGTTTGGATGAAGACATTAAACCTGCAATCCATTTTCTGAATCTGTTATGCAGCCCCAAATGAGTCAAGGCTTTGCAGATGCATTCCCAATTTATAGAATCGAAGGCCTTTTCAATGTCTAACTTGATCACCAATCCTGGCTTCCCACTTCTTCTCCGGCTGTCTATAAGCTCATTAGCGATGAGGCAGGACTCCTGAATAACTCTTCCTTTCTTACCTGAGAACTGAAACTCAGACACGAGAGAACTCAACAGTGGTTGCAGTCGATTATATAGTACCTTGGAAATGATTTTATTAAGGCTTCCCAGCAAACTAATCGGCCGGAAATCGGACACTTTTTCAACCGGATCTTTCTTAGGCAGCAAGCAGATAAACGCGTGGGCAATAGATTGAGGAAGCGAGCCAGTGAGGAAGAAGTCGTCGAAGGCTTTCAAGACATCCAATTTAATTATCCCCCATGCTTTCTTAAAGAATTCGATTGTGTATCCGTCGGGTCCCGGCGCTTTGCTGCCATTAAATTGGTTAACTGCTTGCCAAATCTCTAGCTCGGTGAAGGGCTTCACGAGAACTTCATTGTCCTCTATAGAGATTGATCGAGACCTGTAAGTGGTCGGAAATGGAGGATCTTCAACTTCTTCAATAAACTTGGACTGTGAATAATTGAGAAAGGAGGCCTTGATCTCTGCTTTGTCTTCTGTGGCTCTACCATCAACGATCAATCTGCAAATTTTCTTTCTTCTTCCGTTGAACTTAGCTATTTTGTGGAAATAATCCGTGTTTTTATCCCCTAATTGCAGCCAAATCTCTCTGGATCGCTGACGCCATGATATCTCCTCCATGATAAGGACTTTCTCCAGTTCAATTCTCAGCAGCCCTCTTTCGGTAACCAGAGAATCGCTCAAATCCCCCCTCTCCTCGGCTTCATCGATGATCTTGATACTGGATAATAGTTCCGAAACTCGCCTTTCAACTCTCCCAAAGTGAACTCTGTTCCATTGCTTGATGAGAGATTTAGTCTGCCTGGCTCTCTGTCCAAACCTGACGAGATGACTGGTTCCCGATACCGGAACTGCCCACCAACCCACCAAGTTCTGCAAGAACGAGTCTTCAATGAACCACATATTCTCGAACCTCCAAGGGTGATGTACGTGATCTTTAGCGCCCCATTTTAACATGATCGGATTGTGGTCTGATTCCACTCTGTCAAGTGCCAATAAAGATCCAGGAGAAACCTGATCTTCGAAACAGGGATTGACCAGAGCCCTATCAATCCGAGAAGCCGATCTCGTCGATCCACCCCTGCTCCAAGTGAAGTTCGAACCCTGCAGAGGTACATCCACTAAACTACACCTGTTGATCATGTTATTAAACTCCTCAATGATCTCAGCATCTCTTGAACATCCCACGAACTCCTCTTCAGATCTAACCATATTAAAGTCCCCTATGATGCAGAGGGCGGCCAAATATTCTTGACAGATCAGCTCTAATTCTTTCATGAAATCTCGCTTTGCCTCCTTTTCTTGCGGCCCATAGACAACCACAAAGGATAATATCTCCTTGGATTCGATGATTTGGAGACGAACAGCGAGGGAGTACTTTCCTTCCCACACTGTGAGAGCCTTATATCTCGATGAATCCCAGAAAATGACGATTCCACCACTTGCACCAGAGGAGTCTTTCGCTATTACAATTATACATAAGAAAAAGGATTACGTGAATCATAGCTATATTAAATTTATGTCTAAACTTTAAGTCAAAGAATGCATTAAATTAGAGAGACCATGAGAGAAAAATATGGCGAAATACCTTATTTTTCTCATAAGTATGGCTATATACAACATAAATAGTTGGAACACGGGTTGGATCGGGTTCTACCGGTTGTATAATCCAAAATCCAAACTTAACCCAAAAGAGACGGGTTGTACAAAGGAAAACCCTCACCCAACCCAAAACCTTCATTTTAGTGATAAATACGGGTGGATTGGGTCGGATTAGACGGGTGGGTCGGTTTGCGGGTGTGTTTGTTCACCCCTACTTGCCAGTAGGAATGACAATGGGGCGGGTTTACCTAAATCATCTCATCCCCGTTAATAAATATCCAAACTCGTACATGCTACATTCCTATGTGAGGAAGGTTCTGAAAACCCATCCTCAAACCTGTGGGTAATAATTGGCTCATACAATATTCAACATTATTATACCTATGAATTTGCATATAAATTTTCAATTATAGCACTAACGGCTAACTATATCATAAAGTCAACAAAGATACAATGGTTCTTAATACATTCTAAACTATATGATCTTAAAACATCCATTAATTCATAGGACAGAGTACAATATTTTTCAAATCATTATTCTCTAACTCTGATACATCTACTAATTAATAATTAATTAACATAATTATCTTGTTACACAAGTGGGAAAAGTGAAAGAATTAAAGAAAAAGAATTTTGTTT